CTATTTAAAACTGTGATTAGAATTATTGACAGCATATTTGGTTATTTATGAAGCGGCTTAACTAAATTCTTTCTTTTCTCGAAGAGATTTATTTTAAAAGTACATATTAAATTACTTAACCAAAAATAAGGAAAACGCTCAAAAATTTTGTAATATTTATTGTAACTCGGTGAACAATTATTTCGGACAGAAAGAAATCAGAATAGTATTTGAAAACTTGAAATCTTTACTTCTGAAATCGATAATTGATATTTCGATCTGACTGATTTGTTTGGAAACTATATGGATATTCGTCAAATCTGTATAAATTTACAACGATGTGAAAAAGTTTCGCTGAAATTATTCCACGTTTTGGAACATTTCAGCGAAATTGCTGAAAATTTGTTGAAACTTCACTGAAAGTGAATTTTTCAGCTATTATACTGAAAAATCGCTGAAATCTAACTGAAATTTCTCTGAAATTCTTGCTGAAATTTTGTCGAAAATGAATTTTTCAGCTAAAATTAAACTGAAACTTTTTTAAAATGCTGAAATTTTGTTGAAAAATGTTCCAAAACGTGGAATAATTTCAGCAATATTTTTCCATCAGAATTCGGAATTTCTTTTTTTTAGTGAATCAAAACCGAAAAACCGTACCCAAATTTTATAAAGTTTATAGTACCGAAACTGTAATAGAATCGTAAAATTTTAGTTTTTTTCAGTTCTTTTTTCTATTCTTAATCTTTGATCTTTATCCTTCTTAATTTTTGTTCTGTTCGTTCCTTCGTCTAAATAAAAACCAATGTTCAATCCAGTATCACCGTCGCCAGCTAGCTCCCTTAACAACCGGAATGCAAATCCTCCAACATTTATATGATATAAGGGATTTAGCAGAACCACGAGACATATTTAACGTAAACTTTTTTTAAGATACTAGCATTTTTTTCATTTATATTTTCTTTACCAATATATTGCAAAAATTTATTCTGTCATGAAATTCACGAATACATATGTAGACTTTATATTGTGGCGATTATTATATCGAGCTTGGTAAACAGAACTGATTTTCACAAAGGCTAGAGGTATTTCAATTATTTTATTGGATTGAAGGAAAAGTTCTGCGGATTTTTTTAATAGATGACTGAGATGACACTAATGTCAAAAATAGATATCATGTGTCATTCGAATGTCAGTTTGCTGCACATTTTTTGATAAAATCACACTACTTGACATTTGACAGAAGTATTTGTTTTGGTTGGACATATTTTGCGTGTACGGACATACAAGTAAAATGAAAGAGCAAAAATTGCGTTTTCGCTATATTTTTATTTTGTAAAGGCCATAAAGTGGCGGACACTAAACGCAAAATATGTGCCATGTATGGTGTCTCGGTCTTAAGCACGGACATGCAAAAGATGGTTTGCTTCTGTTCCGAAGAATTTAACTTCCAAGGTGCTCTGGACGGTCAAATACTGCTGATGACAACCAATTCCTGGCTGCAGTGAAAAGTGATCGACACTTAATGACTCGAGAGATTGCGGAGCGCTTCGGCATTCATCATACAATGATTGCGGACCGATTGAAAAAGCTTGACATGATGAAAAAGACCGATGTATGGATGCCCCACGAATTGACCCAAAAGAACATCATAAACCGTATTTTGATGTGTGAGTCTCTCTTGAAACAAAACTTTCTAAATCCATTTCTGAAACGGATCATCACTGGAGACGAGAAATGGGTTGTATACAACAACATGCGACAGAAGTCGTGATGTGGTCCGGGCGAGTCTTCAAAAATGTAGCGAAACTTGATTTACCGAAGAAGGTGATGTTCAGCATTTGATGGGACTACAAAGGAGTGTTGTTCTTCGAGCTGCTCCCGCAGTTTGTCAGGGCCAAACGATATATTCGAAGAAATACTGCGCCCAGCTCGACAAATTGCGCAAGGCAGTGCAGGAGAAGCAGTCAGAATTGTCGAATAGAAAGAGTGGTCATTCATCATGCCCGAGCACATACTTTTTTCGGACTTTG